ATGGGTGGAGGGGCCCCAGCAGCACTGACCACGCACCCCTCTACATCCTGTAGTTGAGCTTTGTCTGCGCTCAGATGCCCATGGTCTTCTTCCTCAACAACTACCTCTACCAACTGAACCACACGCTCTTCGCAGTGAAGCACTGTGGTGAGGCTGCGGGTGGGGCACGGGGTGGCACCGGGAGCCCCCCGGTTGGGATTAACCACGGCCCGTGCCCCACTGGCAGGGACCCTGAGCCATGGCACGCTGCCCGGCTTCAACAAGACGGTGCTGCAGAGCCTTCCCCGCAGCGTCAACCTCATCATCGTGGAGAGCGTGTTGATGGCCGCCGCCTTCCTCGCCATGCTGATGGTGAGCACCGGGGCGGGAGGGGACAGGGATGGGCCAGATGATGGCAGGACCTCACCCGCAGGCGCTCCGCAGGTGCTGGTGCTCTGTGGCGCGGCGTACCGGCCCATGCAGGAGATTGACATGCGCAGCATCGGCTGGGGCAACATTTTCCAGCTGCCCTTCAAGCACATGCGGGACTATCGCCTGCGGCACCTCTTCCCATTGTTCATCTACAGCGGCTTTGAAGTGCTTTTTGTCTGCACTGGATTTTCCCTGGTAGGATACGTGATGGGGTGGGAGGTGATGGAGCAGGGACAGGCGATGCTGAGCCTGTGCTTGCTGCAGAACTACGGCGTGTGTGCCCTGGGGCTGGAGAGGTTGGCGTATCTCCTCATGGCCTACGGCTTCTCTGCCTCGGCGTGCTCCAGCCTGGCCCTGTGCATGCTGCGCCTGCGCCGGCACATCCCGCTCCTGGCTGGAGCTTTAATCCACGCTGTACTCCTGGTGACGCTCTTCTGCTGGGCACCGGAGCCCCGGTACCTGGCACAGGCGCCGCTGCTCTACACCATTGCTGCACTCTGGGGCACGGGCAGTGCCCTCAACAAGACTGGAATCAGCAGTAAGTAGTGGGAAGGTCCTGAAACAGCCTTAAGTGTCCCCAAAACACCACAGTGGTCCCCAAAATAGCCTGGGTTGTCCCAGATTTTTCCACACATCTTCTCCTCGTGTCCCCCGGCACCGCGAATTTGTGGTATCACTCCTCGGTTCCATGGGACAAGCCCACTGTGATTGTCCCCCACGCCAAGGGGACACGGCCACAGGAAGGGAACACTGATTCCAGTCTCTATCCCAGTCCTCCTGGGAATGTTGTACAAGAAAAAGGAGCGCCAAGACTTCATCTTCACCATCTACCACTGGTGGCAGGCCCTGGCCATCTTCACCGTCTACCTGTGGTCAGGGCTGCCCATGAAGGTAAATCCCAGATATGCCCCAGCCCACTCTGAGACATTCCAGGCTTTTTGGGGACACACCTCCACACCAATCCCAAAATTCCCTGTGCCGCAGGCCAAGCTGTCCATCATGCTGCTGACGCTGGTGGTGGCAGTGGGGACATACCTGTGGATGGAGCGGAAGGTGGCGCAGAACATGGAAGTCCGGCTGCCCCGCATCCCACGCCCACGCCATAAAACACGTGGATACCGCTACCTGGAGGACAGCTCGGATGAGACTGGCTCCGACGGTGACGGGGACAAGGAGGATGATGACAGGCACCCAACTGAGGCCACCAGCGAAAACGAGCTGCCGAAAGAGGACGGCGAACAGCTGGGATAAGGACAGCCTGGCCTGGGCCCCATCCTGCTCTTGGCACCTGAGGGGGTTCTACAGCTCTCCCCGGGTGGGCCCAAAATTCTTCAAATCCACTCAGGTCAGGCTTGCAGCCCCCCCAAGCTAAGCCTAAAGCCCCCAGGTAGCCCAGAGCCCCCCACTTTGGCTGGCATCAGTGCTGACACACATGACTGACAGACCCCCATACTGGCCCATGGACCCCCCAGGTCAGGTTTGCAGCCTTCAGATTGACCTACAGCCCCAAACTGTGGTACAGAGACCCCCCCCAAATTGTGGTTCAGCCCTCAGGCAGGCCCAATAGCCCCCAAAATTATGATGCAGTTGCTCAGGTGAAACCTGCAGACTCACAGGCCAACCCCCGAGCCCCCCCACGCAAATCCACAGCCCCTCAGACAAGGCTCACGCCCCCGAGGCAGATCCGCAGCCCCCCC